GAATGTGTGGACCCACAGCAGATGAGTATTATTTTGCAGCCTCCACCCCTGTGACTTCCAATTTGCTTCATCTCTGTCTTGTTTTATTACCATCTTTACAAACCTTCAGACAGACGGAGATAGAATTTGCTGAAATGATTTTCCTTATGCAGCTAACCTGTAGCAAAGATCCATACTAGGAGCACAGCACAACAGTGTATCAGCACAACAGTGAGACAGGGTGTTCAGAGAGAAAACAGCAACCCGCTTCCTTTGTCTGACAAGAAACTTCTAAGGGCTGAATTCGGATAGCAAGGCCTCATCAGTGAAGTTGGCCAGACCTTAGTTCAGGGTTGGGGAGACTTCCCAGAGTGAGAAGCTCTGTGCCTGTAAGGTTCTGGTGTAGGGCTCTGCTGTGGCCTTAGGGTGCTGCTTGATGGCTGCAGAGATGCACGGTGGTGAGTTCATTATTCCAGCAGCCCACGGTAAAACTCTCTTTAGTACCTACGACATTTTTGTGCCTGCTGTGTGAGCTCTGACACTGGCTGCTGTCTCCTACACTCCTGTTTCAAAGGAGGAACAGTCAAAGTCGGGTTGTTCTGTTGTACAAAGCCCTGTCCCTGCGGAGTAAGGCCATGCACGGCACAGGATGATCAGCCTCTTTTCTGGCCTCCGTCCCATCACCTTCCTGATAGCTTTGTAAGTAGAACCCAACAGAAGGGCCCATGGCTGGCCAGTGAAATCTTGCTGTTTTAATCACCAGTGCATTCCACAGTTCTCTGCTGAAACAGGGGCATGCACATAATGGATATTTTATGTCAGTACTTTCTGCGTATTGAGCAATATATTTCCCTACTTACATGTCAGAGCTTGAAATTATTATTCATTTTTAATGAGCTATACCATGCATAGCTAATGCAGAAGCTTAATTTTAGGCACAGATTTTAGTTTTATCCAGTAGGAAACCATGTTTCTTGCTGCTATGAGTTGGGTTGAAACAAGGAGTCGATTGTTTGGTGGTGGTTCCAAGATGCAGGTAAAAGTAATTGTCCTGGTGCCTAAATATCAGCTGGTAGATGCTGTCACGTATGAACTGCCACATGTACAATGTAATGGTCTGTTCCACTGGCAAATTACAGAGCCTCCTAAGGGCTCACACCCCTGCAAGCTGGAATTAAAAATAAATCATCTGAAAGTGGGACTAGCTTGGTTAACAAAGAAGCGGAGTACTCCAGTGTGGCTGGAGTGCCATTGTGTTCATTGACATCCTGTTATCTGGTAGCTAGAGAGCTTGTTCTAGCTGAGCTGGTTCCCCAGCACTACCTATTGAGGATTTACAAGGGCTGCTCTGACTATAATACCTCCTGTTTTATGATGTCAGTCCACAAAGTCAGAGACTGGTGCTATGGCAGTAGGGGTTGAACATTCCCACCAATATTCTGTTCCATTTTGTTGCTGTGTGACAGATGGCAGCAGAGGGGCAGTTGGACAGAATGATGCCTGGTGTGGAAGTGCAGATGAAGCAAAGGTGTGAAGCTGAATTTCTCTACGGGGAAAAAAAGGCACCACTGACATTCTTTGATGCTTGCTGAATGTTGATGGAGACCAGCCAGTAGATGTGAACACAGGGAGAGGTGGGTGACACATTTCAGCAATGGTGACAATGGGTCATCTCCGCTGGCGCAGATTTTTGTGAGTGTGGCATGCAGGTTCTTGTTCATCATTGCAAACATGGATAGATAATGGTGGTACTTATATTGAAAAATAGTGCTCTGCGGTACTCTATCAGACAGTGCTGTTTTCCCTTTGTAGCTGTAGTAGTTTCCCTGGAAATAAATAAGAGGCATTACTTTTGGAGTAACCTACATAGGATCTAAAGACCCTACCCAGTGGTAAATTCAGCAGTATAGTTGCCATGCTAAAGGAAAGTGCCTCCCTAGCTCAGAATTCAGCCTATTTGGTCAAAACCTGTTTGATCAATTTGTAAAACCATAAAACCTGATCTTAATGTTCTGGTGGTAAAAAGTTTTGACAATGCTGGATGAGGGGTCCAAGGAGTACCTCAGTTTTAATGGATTCTAGTGATCCGAGTCCTCATCTGCTTCATAGCAGTTGTTATTGTCAGTGCATCACAAAATGTCACAGGGTACAAATGTAAGAGGTCCAGCTCTCAACCAAGCCAGACAACAAGATTCGAGACAACGAGACAGAAATGCAATAAGAGGGGATTCTCCCTGCTTTGTTTTCTGTTTTCTGTTGTATCTTTTCCTGTTTGGCTCACCGTGATGTGATAGTTCCTCAGTTCCCATTCCATGCTCTGTAGTTAGTTGGGAGGAGAGTGTAGACTTCTCTTTGTTTCTTCTAGTTCTGTCTTTTATTTTGTTGTTTATTTTAAAATTTCCAGCAGTGAAGGATAAGTTTAAATTACTGTATTTACACTGATTGCAAGTGGCAGAGCAACACCAAGGCCTTTCTGCCCCTGGAGCCTTTTATGGCTGGTAAGCATATTTATTCATCTAGAAGCACCCTTGTTAATGCTCCCTGTCCTTTCTAGTTGTTTATTCACTCATTAAAGATGAGAAACAATAGGAGGTGATCTTACAGTAGCACCAGTGACACACTAAAATTGAAGAGCTGTGCTTCTAAGAGCTCTACTCTCCTTCCCTAGACCAAAAAGAAAAGAAAGACCTGAGCAAACTCAGTAGGTAGGAGGTATGATATGAAGCTCGTTTAATTCATGTAATTAAATACAGAGGTTTGCAAGATGAAAGGGGACCTGGGTAAATTAAAAGAAAAGCCCACATGGAACGTATCCATCTCCTGAGCAGATTCATAGGAATTAAAATGATGTGAAGCCTTAGCATTGAAGCAAAGATAAAAATGGCTGGGTATGAGCCATTGGCCAGAGCACACTTCTGGTTTGAATTCAGCAGTGAGTAAAATCTCTGTGCTTGCAGCCTTACATCAGTGAAATGCAGCGGTAGCTGCCTTTCCAGCATAAAGAAAATAACTGTCAAAGTCATTCAGAATCTTTCTGCTACAATTAGATGGTGCTGGATTGGGGTGAGTGTGTGTCCAAAAGACATGTGCCACCATTTTAGCTGAACAGGAAGACCACAAGACACTCGGGACTGTGTTCTCGTGTGTCTCATCCCTGGAATAAAGTGCAGCAGGGTGGGTGAATGGTGGGACTTCGTGGTCTCTTCCAACCTTAATGGTTCTGTGATTCTGTGATTCAACGAATCAGAAACTTTTGCAGCGTTGAAATCAAAGCAAATAGAGGGAGGGAAATGTGCAGAAAATGAAGGCGCATTGCTGTGAGAGTTATAGCAAAGACACTGAGACAAACTCAAACCTGAAATAGGTGAGGGTGATTCACATGGACTTAAGTGGCAGCTGAAGCTGTTCAGACTTGTGTAGAGATTGGGCCAGTTTAGCTTGAATTATTTTCAATGCCACACGTGAGAGCATCTCTACTTGCTCAGGGAGTGGTTTTCATTGCAAGAAGGCTTTTGTTTTGATCGTTGGGATTTTCCACACTGCCAGCTGAGTTCAAGGCACTTCAGCATCTGCAAGGCACCATCCGTGAGTGTCAAGGAGATCCGGAACTGAGGGCAAAAAGCAGATTTTAGAGGAAGAACACGTACTTGACTTTGTGCATTTTCCTTGTATCCTCCCTGCAACAAAAGTTACCGCTCCATCCAGATACACGTGCAGGATGAGCACGTCTCCATGTGCACTCTGAGTGCTTCAGTTATGGGTCTGTACTGAACATGAAGATCAGTCCTTACTAGTAATGAGCAGAGATTCCCACGTTCCCAGGGAGTGGGACACGTTAAGCTTGGCAAAACTTTATGAAATTAAGATGATGAGTTGATCATTAGGGTTTACTGCTAATTGATTTTCAACGTATGGCTAGCCTTGTTCCTGTCTCAAAAGAGCTTTATGTTCCCACCAGCAGCCATAATTTTCAAAGCCCATGGACCACTGTTGTTAATTCTGATGAGGAAAGGGTTGCTTCAGCACTGACAGATACTGCAGAGGCTGTGAGCAAATGTGCTCTGCTGCAGTATTTCCCCCCTGGAAGTCAGCACGTAGCTGCCTGCTGGTGAGTTAGGTATCCTTTACACGCATTTCTTTCTCTTCTGACTGCAAGAACAACTCAGCCTTCTCCATTAGACAATTCTCAGATATTAATTGCAGGTTTATTAGCTGGCTCAGAAGTGTTCATTGGTGTGAGAGCCGTAGGGCCTGGCTTTAAGCAGTGGAAGAGCACCCCAGTGAGCTCGATATGGCTAAGCATTTCCTGAACAGAGCTGCAAAAGAGGTGAGCATCTGGTGGAATTAATGGCCTGTAATTTTTCTGGAGGTGATTGCTGAGTGAGAACTGCTGCAGCAGAGCAGAGATCAGAAGGGTGAGAACAGGTTTTCTTTTTTCACCAAAAAAATGTAAAGCGAAAAAGTCACACATGGAGGCTATCTTAAGGCATTGATATCTCCCCAAAGTTTCAGCTGACAAGAAGAGATTTTATGAAAAATTCAGGTGGGCTTTGCCATTAAATGGCACAGATACTCTGCCTGCCACTTCCAATTTTCTCCCTTAGCTCAACTTTTAACTCTTGTCCTATGTATCTGTTTCAAGTTAAACATATTTTTTCAGACTTTCAACTGAAGTATTTCAGCTGTTTGTATTTCAGCTGTTTCTTACTTGCATCATCTTATACGTTGTTTGTTTGTTCCAATAGTTTGTTAAAATGTACTGGCATGCTGTTGCTTAGGAAGGCTGTCAGTACAGATCTGTTGCTTTACTGCTTCAGTGGAATTAGCCCAAGTTTAGTCATTATTGAACCTCAAGACACCTGCAATGTCACCTACTAAGGAGACACTTGTTAGAGATTGCCAGCCAAGCTCAGAGAAGAGTCTGTTTGTAGTAACATGTTCAAACACAGGCACACCTGTGGGCAAGCCTCGGTGCTGATTCCTCTTTCAAATGATGGGCAAAAGCTGTGAATTATAAAATACAGGGAAATAGGGTTTCCTGTCTTCTTACCAATTCCTGGGCTCCTGTACTAGCTGCAGTGAAGAGAGATAGCAAGCTCATTGGAGGCAGGGGGTGGAAATAAGAAGGAGATGTAATGAGAGAAGTAGATGTGGCACTGATGGGTACATAGCTGGGATTTAAGACCAACACAGGTTTTTTGGGAAGAGTAAAATCTGGAGCCAAAGGTGAGCAAAGAGAAGAATCAAAGAAAATACAAATCCTGAGTTTGGCTATGTAAAGAGAGATTAGAAGGCAAAGCCTGGGGTCTGTGTGAGGGGTAGGAAGCAGTGGGGTATCTTTATTGAGAGCACCGAAGGCAAAAAATGCAAGCAAATGAGAAATGGTGTATTAAGAGCTAAAAGGAAGGCATGTATTAAAATGAGGAGAAAAGTATATCAGCCTGTTGCTTTTTGGGGACCATGTTTCCTGGAAACACAACACTGGAGTCCAATGGAAAAATAGTGAGTAATAGCAGATAATACAAAAGAAAAAGTCTGAATTAAAATTGTACAAACGATTGTTTGGAAAGAAGTGGGGTGTCTGCAGCTCAGGCTGCTTCTTGGGTGGAGGCCGTAGGCGCTGAGAGGTGGGAAGCAGGCCTGGCTGGGCCAGGTCCCATGGCCTCTGCTGCATTCAGTCATGCAGGGCTCAGCTCCTCCCAGGCACGGCAGCCAACAGGCGCCGCTCCCTTGCTGTGCCTGCAGTAAACAGCAGTGTTTTTCTGGAATATCTGCACAACTAGCGTGGGTTTTCAGAGTTCTCCACTAAATGTCTATGAAAAGATTTCCCCATGCTGCACAAGTTGGCTGGATGTTCTTCTCAGGCCTGATTGCCCACTGATATTATCAGATATCAGCGAGATCCTCAGCTGGAGTAAAGCTGCTCTGCTGCATGTAATGAAGTCCTGCCCGCCACAGTCTGAGGAATGCCAATACAGTAGGAAAATGCCTGCCTTAGGACGTGTTTTCGGGTTGGATTTTGGGGCAAACTTTTAGCACAGTTGAAGAGGTGTGTAGGAAAAGACAGGGACATTGTGGAGGCTGTGGCTGTCAAAATAGGTCTTGGTGCTGCGCTGGGACTGGCAGATGGGCTGAGCAGTCCTCTGGGATCCTTCCCACTTCTGTTTTTCTTTGAGTTCAAGGCACTGTAAGGTCAGACTCTCCCCTTTGCTTTTTGCTAATGGCAGTTTTCCAGATGCTTTTATCTATATGCACACATGAGAAAGGTTCTGTCCTGAGGAACTGAGTGAGGCTACCAAATCCAGCCAGCACTCTGACTGCAGGTCTTGCAGGGTTCTCTCTTTGATGCATGCATTCAAAGCCTGCTGTGCACACGAACTTTTTGCAAAATGCTTAAGAACTGTCCTAAGCACTTCTTCACCCAGTGTCTCCAGTGCCACGATTTCATTCCTTGTAAGTATGGGCAAGGTGTTAATATTCTTGGCTGGCTGGCAACCTTACGAATACCTTTGACATCGAGCTTGGCTGTGTTTCTTGTTGGGTCTGCCAAACATTTTTTAGATGTCAAGCTCTGGGATTTATATGCTGGGAAGCACATGATATTCTGAGGACGTAGAGTTAACCAGTTTTGCACAAAATGTGCTAGTTACATAAAAGTCATATTTTAAAATGAAATTGGTGCCTTATGGAAAATCCTAAGTAAAGAACCAGGAACTGGAGCTCTGTTTATGCACAGTGCAGATGCATCCCTAGGGTTGGCTTTGCAGGCTTCTCTGCCCTTGTACGTCACCATGCTTCAAGTTCATCCAAGAGGTAAACAGCTAACTGAATTTCCATCTCCACTCTCCTAAAGAAAATGTTATCTGTGGCAGATTCTATTTTGTTTTCCACTTAGGATGTCTGTCTGAGGATCTCATTTCCAAAAGCCTAGGTAACCAAGTAATGCTAGGCATTTTGAAGCTTAGACTAATGGCTTTCTCCCCAGATCCCCTGAAGTTCCATTGCTTTGGGTTCGTGAGCAGAAGAGAGCTTTATTTGAGGAATACGTCCTGCTCTTCACTTGGTCCACCCGCTCGTTTCACTGCTACTGTTGCTAGCTTTGAACGTCCAAATCCCTCCAGAAAAGGAGGTTGAATTGTCTGTCAAGAGATTGCATAAAAAAAAGACAAGTGGGCCAACTTTTCCATTTGCCCCTAGATTTTGAGCTTTCAGAGAGATGCATTTTCAAGTATTTTTCTACCACTAAGAAAGAAAGTGTATTTTAAGTGTATTTTTTCTCTGATGGATAGAACAGCATGACCTGTAAATAGAGCTGATACTCTCACACAATCACTCGGTGCCAGTAGCTGGGTCTTCAGAAGGAATGTCGAGGATCTGACAATTTCTATTAAAACTGCAAGAGCTGCAACACTCTACTGTCTCTGTCAGAAAAAAAGATGGCTGTGTGATAAAATGCTTATGACCTCTATTGGCAGGAGTTCTCTGTGTGAGCCTCTTCCTGGATCAGAGTCCCCACCAGAGAAGCTGCTGTTGCTCATCATCATTACATTAACGTAACGTCTCCCCTGGTCCCTCAGCTTTACCCCAGAGAGGGGTAAGTCTTTAAAATGAGACAACTGGAAAACTGAATTGTGATAATATGGTCTGGGGGTGGCAAGATGTGAGTCTGTCACAAAAAAATGCTGTTATTTCTGATAACATCTTACCTGGGACAAGGATTGCTTTCAGAGCCTTTGCAACCTCTTGTATCGCTGAAGCTTTCTATATTCATGGTTTGCTGTGTGGACTGCAAGGCTCGTGAAAGGCTGTGTTCAGATGGTGACGTTACCTCACCCCTGGATCAGTCTCTAAGTTGTGCATGGGGAGGTTCAGGCTGGCTGTTAGGAACAATTCCTTGTCCCAAAGAGCAGTGAGGCAGTGGCACAGCTGCCCAGGGAGCAGTGGGGTCACCTGGAGGAGCCTCAGAGCCATGGGATGAGGCACTGAGGGACGTGGGCTGGGGGTTGGACTGGATGATCTCAGTGGTCTTTTCCAACCTTAATGATTGTATGATTAAGTGCAGTGTCTTTCTTTATCAATTGTTATTATGTGCACAATGGAAGTATATTCATTGTAGCTTTATTTTAGTTACTAGAAAGTAAGATATTCCCAAACAACTGCTGAGGAATGGAAGCTCATGTTACCATTCTTGCCACCAGCTTTTCTGAACTGATTAGAAGCTTTTATGAATTTCAGAGTGTGAAGATACATTGGATGGATTTGCCTTCACTGTGGAAGTAGATATGAGTTACTACTAGGCATGTTCCACAATGGAAAGTCTCAATTTCTAGGTGGATGTGGATTCACCCCGGACATGTCTTTGTTTACCTGTAGGATTGCTTCCTGCTTTTTCTTATCAAAGACATTCAGCTGTGAATTAAAATAAAGAGGCAGGCTATGATGTTACTGTCCTTAAGGGATGTGAGGAGGCCTTCTTGCAGTGCTCTGAAGGAGCTGAACAACTCTCCAGGGTTGTATGAAGTAACAGACCTCCTTACATAACTCAGTTGTTAGTTCAACTCCCTTGAAGCAGGGGGAATCAGAGCTACCTGACCTGTTTTGAGTGATGTTTAGCCTGGTTTCTCATAGAATTGCACATCTGTGTCCTTCTCTTCCCTGATATCTTTTGAAACTACTGGCCAAAGTCAACAGTATGTGGTTGGAAGGAAAGATTTTTCAGTGGTAATTAAGCTCTTAGCTTTTACCTAAAAGTAGGAGGTCAGGGAGAGGGTTGGCTGGGTTTGAGCATTTACACTTCTGCTTGTAATCTTTTCACTCTTTCATTCATTCTTTTTTCTCCTTAGGTTCTCTGAGGATTTTAATATGGTTTTAGAAAGAATAAATATCAGAATTCAACTGTTTGACTTGGAGATGAAAGTAAGGCTTAATTTGTATTCACCTGTCAAATGTTGGAAGTGAATGAAGTGTGTGCAGACTTTTTATCTCTAAGAAGGAACCACTGTGATTGTCTGGTTCCCATCACATGTGTTCTCAAAGTTCCATGAAGAATTTCTTCTTCTGGACAGAAGTTTATGCTGAGGCCAGAGGACCACTTTCAGTAATGCACTGTATTCTAAAATTTGCTAGAGACCTCATGATATCTCAGGACATCCCAAAGTGACTGATTCTAGTAATTGATTACTCCCAGAGGTAGAAAATGTGCGTTTCCTTTCCAGTGAATTTATCTACTCTCAATTTCAGTTGGTGGATCTTGTATTTTCCTGATTGATTTAGATCTGAAGTGTATCCTGTATGCAGTACATAGAAAGCCGAGTAGGTCATTTCTTGACCTCTGCTTGATAAATTAGATTAAATATCTTGATTTGATAGATATCATCTTGTAAACCTAGAATCATTTCATATTTCTTTCTGCTCCTTTCCCCATATTCCACCTTTTTTTCCTTCAAAAGTAGCCCTCAGAAGTGGGGACAGCATTCCAGCATACTCACAATAATGACAGAAGTAGCAGCATTCTTCCCTCCTGCAGAACAAATGAGGTAGTTGAGCCAGATCCTTCCCCTGTCATAACATGAAGGTCAGTTGTGAAGATTTCTGAATATGTGAAATTAAATAATTTAGTCTTCCTACCTAAAGAAAATAGCGGTGGAACAGATCATAGAATCATAGAATGGCTTTGATTGGAAGGCAGCTTAAAGCTCATCCAGCCTCAACCCCTGCCATGGGCTGGCTGCCCCCCACCAGCTCAGGCTGCCCAGGGCCCATCCAACCTGGCCTTGGGCACCTCCAGGCATGTGGCACCACAGCTCTGGGCAGCAATGCTAAGGCTTCACTGCCCTCTGAGTGAAGAATTTCTGCCTGACATCCAATCTAAATCTCCCCCTCTGTTAATTTAAAGCCAGTCCCCCTTGTCCTATTGCTAAGATAGAGATGAGCATATCTCTATTGATTTCAGTGACCTTTATGTTAGTTATGAATTGGTTCTCTGGTAATAAAATATTTAGGTTCATCCAGGATAGAAAAATCATTAATGTTTTCACAGAAAGGCCTTCTGAGTTTAAAAAAAAAAACAAAACACAGGGTAAATTCCACACTTTTCAGCATACTGCTTCTTGAAATATGAATAGCTTAGGCATCCTCCTCTGCCCCAGACCAATAAATCAAAAACAAATACAATGTTGTGAAATAAGAGCATTTGTGCCAATGAAATTATTCCAGGGAACGGCAACCAGAGACACAGCGATCTTTCAGGTGAAGTGCATATATGTGCATAAGATTTTTTTTGCCCCAGTGATTATACATCAGGAGAGCACCAGAGAAATATGAACAAAGGACGAGGTTCTGTTTTTCAGCTTTGCCTGTGGAAGAATCTGAACTTTTTGTCAAAATCAGCACTTCATTACAAGCTATTGAAGCCAGTTTAAAGCTTCCATTGAGAGCCATTCGCTGAGAGCATGAGTCACTGTCTGTGTGCAGAATCATGCAGTGATTGATGCGGCCAGCAAAGGGCTATTAGCAGAGAGCCTTAAAAAAGATGGAAGTGTAGTTTACATGTTGGGCACAATTAATCCCGGGTGTAATTCTAGCTGAAATTCTTTATCGGTCCTGAGTTGGTGGCAAATTCAAGTTTTAATTGTGCTGCTGTGATGCGTCTCTCTGTGTGGCTGTTGCGATCAAATGGCATTTTAAGGACACATTCATTGGCCTAGAGGTGTTTGCTCTGTTCCAGGCAATATGCAATGCCCTCAGCGTGTTCCTGTTGGCTGCTTGCTCTTGAGGCAGCACAGAGACATCCAAATGTTAAGCGGGGTCTCTTGAAAGCACTCTGAAACACTTCTGCAAAGCCCTTGCCATACGTGCAGCACTGATTCTGCTGGCAGGGCCGGTGGTGCTTTCTGGCAGCCTGCAGCACAGCCGTGGTTCTGCAGCTCTGTGAGGCTCCAGCCCTTGTTGCTGCCTGCTGAAGTGACCCTTCCCTTGCACAGCTGCAGCACCGTGCTTGCGGTGGCGTCCCTGGGTGCTCTCTGCTCTGTGGGAACACTGCAGAGCACAGTGATACTTCAGCTCCCTCATCTTGCTCCCAGCTACATCCATCCTGCCCTGCACTTCCTTCAGCTGCCCCTCTTCCCGCTGGGGATACACACTGATAATCTACCCCCAGGGACTCATCTGGACCAAGAATATTTAGAAATATCCGTCATCCTTTTAAGAATGCTTCTGATTCTGGAACTTGCTCCCATCTAGGCTCGCGGGGAACAACTGTTCCAAGTAGGGAACTATAGAGACTGCTTTCCAGTGTTAAGCAGTTCGAGGTTATAAGTCAGCAAACTGCAGCTACTGTAGAAGCAGTAAAGCATATAAGAAAAATGGGTAAAATGAGAACAGAGCTAAGAAAAAATAGGCCAGGCAGCCTCGAGTACTAGATGAGGAATAAATGAATTACTGCATTGTTGCCAAACCCGCCTCGCTGCTTGGACTAGCAGAGCTCAGAGCTGCAAGCTACAGAAGATGGCAAAAGACAGTCTCCATTCATTAAGCAATGAATCTGCATTATCTCAGCTTGAACTGTCCCTTACTGTAGGACTGATTTTCCTCTGAGAGCTAAGGCCAGATTAAAGCAAGCATTTATTCATTTGCATTCCATTTCTGGATTGCATGGAGCATGCCGGAATAGGAAAGTGGATTTGTGAGGATGCTCTAGTGCAAGGTAAGGAACAATCAGGGCAAAGTGAGTCCGGGAGGGAGCTGCTCACCACTGAGTGCTTCCTACGGTACCTTGGTGGGTTTTGCCTTGGTGGGTGCAGAGCACTGGTCACACAGCCCTTCTGAGGTCTGCATCCCCTTTTGAGACAACTGGAGAACCTGGGAGGCAGCCGCGAAGCACAGCGCTTTCTCTTGCTTATGTCTGATGCAAAAGCACAACTGAACCATGAGCAGTGCAAGAGAATCTTTATGTGAGGTTCAACAAATTCTGCTTTAGCTCCCCTGAAAACAAACCCTGGCCCCGCAGGATGAACATGGCACGTTGGGTTGGATTGTTTCATTAGCAGAAGGACTGAGGTAACAGCTGAACTAGCAGGGCCTATCTGTGAGGCTCCAGGGAGCATGGGGCGGGTGGGCTTTTCCATGTTTTATTTTCCTATATGCTCTTATTAATATGCCTTACTGTGGCTCTCAGGGTTGCTGCTGGAACAGGAAACTCGTTCTTTCTATGGTCCCCTCGCTGGGGCCACTCGTGTGTTAGTTACTGTCAGTGGTCATGGTGTGTTACCAGCGGGTGGGTGGTGGGCCTGTGGCCCTCAGAAGTGCTGGCTGGAGGCTGTGACTGCTCCTTCTGATATTACTAGATTGGAATCTGATGGGTGAAAAGCTGTGAAATCTGTTTCTCATCCCCAGACCTATTAGTTGCTGGGACCCAACTGTGACTCCTTGTGAAAGGGCTTTGGAAACAAAACAGGAGTACAAAAGAGTTCTGCAATGTTTATTTGCGTTGTTGACTTGCACTGTGTTCACAGGAGGAAAAAAACATCCCAGGCTTCTGCTTGAACAGAATCAGAATCCCCAAGTATGCACGAGGTTACCACTACTAGCAGCAGTTGTGCTTTATTGCTTTTTTTTTTTTTTAGGTCCCCTATGAATTTCTCATTCTAAAAAGAAAGAGAAAATATCCAGACTGCCCCAAACAACTGCATTCTTATGTCATTGTCCTTTGTCATTTTCTTTCATTTTGCACACTTATAAAAACTGCTGTACGTAGATTTTTAATCCAAGTGAAACGTGTGCCCTGAATTCTTTACCTTAATTGGAAAGGTATTGATCACTTTCTCTGTTTTCACCGTGGGCCAGATCCAAAGCTGGAGGAAGAACATTCCAGCAGTCATCAGCTCTGGTCTGTGTGTGACAGACACAGGGCTGGCTTTTTGCACGCAGTGGGAACAGTGGATTTTCCATTCTGTTATTTTCCTTTGTCAAAGGACATGGAGTTTATACCAGGTGATTTCTTTAAATTATTTATACAACTGTATCCTGATAAGATACAACTTCCTCCAGCTTAAACATAGCTACTGTTTGTTTCTATAGCATTCAGCAATGTTTAGGAGGCTGGGGGAGAGCTGTAACAGTGCAGTGGATGCTTTTCAAGAAATCCCCCCATTTATTTTCTTCTGAAAATGTTTGGTCAGATTCTGATCTCGGTTACACACTAAATCAGCAGAACTGCCTCATAGCCACCAGTTGGCCTGAGTGTAAAGCAGCTGCCAGCAGGCCCTACAAGGAGCAAGGCTGGAGAGATCACTGCTCTTTGGGAGAAGAAACATTTCCTAATGCACATTCTTTCCATTTGGATTGTATAGATGACGGTTCCTTGCACCACCAAGATGTGTTTTGTATAAACCCAGCCTTGGGTTTTGTTCAGCATTAGACCTAAACCTGGATCTAACCATTGCTGCATGCTCAAAATCTTCTGAGCTGAATCCAAACATCATGAATTCAGGTGATTGTGACAGCACTGTGTATTTTGAATAAGTAGATAGATGTTCCAGTCAGTTCCAGGCATTTCAGGGGAAAGGGGTGATAATTTATCTTTATCACCCTGTATGTTCCATCCTGAAATTCTGGCTGTGGGCTCTTGTCATATATAAATACCATTTTTCTATTCTAGGCTTCCATTTGCTAGAAATAATCGAACCACTGCAATGCATTGATTCGTAAAGTGCCTTGCAATATCTTGAGTGTGAAAGCAGATAAAATCAAATTCTGGTCTGTCAGCACCTTAAAAAAAAAAAGTCATCTCTGTGCTGAGAAAATTATGATGCTGTCACCTGTTTTTGAGCTGACATCTTCCAGTGGTATCACAAACACTCTAACAGTGCTTGGGAATTGGCAAAAACACTATAGCCAGTCTTGGATTTATGGATCATGTCCTTCCCATCAGCTTTGCAGGCTTGCCTAGCAGCCTTTTTGTTTTCTTCCCAAGATCGAAAGCCTTTTGTAATAAACTGGATTGACAGCAAAATCAGGATATTCAGATGTTTTTCATGAAAGCCAAATTTCACTTTTACTGCAAAGGATCCCATACAGGTTTGGAACTGATTCTTATTGAGGACTAGGGTACAACACAATGTTTTCTGGACCGTTACAAACAGTCTTGCTGAGAGCACGTTTGTAGAGCTACTGGTCAGAGGTACAAAAGTGGTGCATAACCAGCATCCTTTAGGTGCATCCTTCAGCTTGGATATTGGGAGCAGTTTCATTGCAGGCAGTGGCACAGCTGCCCAGGGACTGGTGGGGTCACCTGGAGGAGTCCCTGGGCTGTGGGATGTGGCACTGAGGGATGTGGGCATGGTGGGATGAGCTGGGGTTGCACTGGATGATCTCAGAGGTCTTTACCAGCCTTAATGATTCTGTGATAACTTTGGATATGACTGGTGAGGCACTTTGCATCAGCCAGTGTTACTATGGCTTACTGCAGTTTGCTCAGTGTAAACATTTTACATTTATTAAAAATATAATATAAAGTTTTACATGTTTTTATGCTAAGATCAAGAGCTTATAACAGTAACCTGGATAACAAAAAAATCATAACCTTGGAAGAA